AGCTTCAAATCACCTGAAGAACCTCTACAAGCATGCTTCTCAGTCCTGAGTGGAGTCAAAGGTGTGTACAGAACAATGGCTTCTAGGTGGGTGATTTTCCTGGAAACCTCTAAAATAAAAAGACCACTGGCCCCGAGGCTGATGGGGGTCCAGGGCAGCCCTGCCCGGGCTCCCAGAGAGAACTGGGCTTTTCAGAAGCTCGGGTTGGATGGGAAGGTGAAGCAGCTTCCACAAACAGGAGTGTGACCTTTCCTCAAGTTTTATTCTGGACTGAGAAGCGCTGGTGCAAAAAAACATGTCCACTTTGGAAATCTCTTGCATCTCTGCCAGGCCTGGAGGCTGTGGATGGGGAAATGGAACATTCTATTCTGCAAACAGCTCAGGTCTACTGAGAATTCTTCCCAAGACCAGCGATAACCTGCACAGCACATCTGTATATCTGATGTAGGATCTGTGCTCCTGCCAGCTTCCAGAGCGCTCAGGGTCACACCACTTGCATAACCTCATCCAGTATATGGCAGATGGCAAAACTGAGCTGGCTATGTGTGTGTGCGTAGGTTCCAGGGCTAGCTACGCTCTTGAATTTGTAGACTTGGTACCTTTGTGCCTCTGCTCCCCTCCCTGCCAGCACTTCTACCTGGGCTAGGTTCTCAAATGCTTCTAAACCTCCTCCACCTTCCCGCTCTCACCCTCTCAATTCTAACCCAGCCAGCCCACTGAACAGGTAATCTTGTCTTGACGCCTGCCTGCTCAAAAGTCCTGAGGGTCTCTCTTTTCCCTTGAGACTCAAAACCACACTCTTCGCTGAGGCCACTCATGGGTCAGTAGGGCCAGCCTTATACACCTCCCCAAGCTCGGTTCCCACCAGCCCTCACTCTGACCATCAGCTGCAAAGAAACGATCCAGCTCAGCATCCACAACGAAGCCTTTACTTTTGGCCTCCCTGCTGCCATCCCTCCCAACAATATGCTCCCCGACACTCTCATCAATTCTAATTCCACCTCCTTTAAGAAACCCTCCCCACTGCTGCGACCAACACCCCACACCAAGAGAGCACCTGCTAGGTTCCAGGCACTGTTCCAGGCAGTGAGCTGCATATTAAAACACAGGTTCATCCCCAAGAAGTTCAGGCTAGTGGACGAGGCAGAGACTCTGATGCAAGAGGATGAGAATGACTAGGAGGACTTCCTGGAGGAGGTGACAACTGAGTTGCATCTTTAAGAACCAAAGGGAATTACAGGTTGCGGGAGGGCCACAAGGCTTGTAGAAGCATGGGAGGAGAGCTCAGTGTGGAAGGCCTGGTGGGCAAGGGAGAGAGGGAAACAAGCCATATGTGCAGCGTAAGCACCAAAGAGCAGTCTCAGTTCTCCCCCCGCGACTCCACACTTATTATTTCAGACGCAGCATGAGGCTGCAAGCAGGACTGCTTTCCCTGGGCAGCTTTCTTATTCACGGGGGCACCGAATTCAGCTAACTAATGCAAATAGAGCCTTTTCATAATGTCGACATGCATCAATAATTCAGAGGCTAGGAAGCTCCCCCAAACGACCCATGAAGAGTATCAAGAGCCCCCTGCCTGCGTTTAGCAGCTTCAGAAGACGTGGCCCGAGGGGCAGTGCTCTGGGGAAAACAGGGCTTCCGTTAAGGAACCCGGACCACGTTCCACATGAGCACCTAGTCTGCCCAAAAGACGAGGATTCCAGCCTCATATAGGAGAGCAAGTGTCACTCACAAATTGTTTGATTTAAAACAACAGCTGGCCTGTGTCAGACCCTTCCAACCACATCTCCTGTTTTCATCCTGACAGCAACCCTGAGTGGTGGGCAGGGTCCCACCTGCCACGGCTGCAGACCAGGAAGCTGGGTTTCTCACTCGGGGACTTGCAGATGTCAGAAGGTTCCAGAGAGAGGATCCTAACCTGGCCCTCTCGCCCTCTGATGCTTGCTGGAACTGAGCAGGCCACCTCGTCCAGCTCTGCTCCATACCCAGTGGAGGACTGAGGGGTTCCATGACTTGCTGGTGACCGAGCAGGAGGGCTCAAGACCCTGCTGTCCTAAGATTGATGAATCAGCTGGAGGACAAACCAGATGTCATCTGCAGCAAGATGAGGGGGCCGCTCATGCACGCAGGTCTCTGCAGGCCCCGCTGGGACCTCTCTGGAAGCAGGGGGCAGGTGACTTTCTGGGGGGCTGGGGCTGGGACCCGCACACTGTGCCTCAGAGACCCTGCCGTCCCGCAAAGAGTCCAGAACTTCTTCAGGAGTGGGGCGTGAGCGGACTCCGCACAGAGTCCCACCAGAGGACCAAACAGCTCTTCAGCTTTCGTCCTAAACCCCCAGAATGGAGAAAAGGTGATAGAAAAGGCATAAAATTCCAAGGAGGTAAACGTGAGCATCTCCCACAAAAGTTTAAAGGGCCAAACAACTTTACAAATTCCAAATAAAAATAAAATAATAGAACAAAAATAAATGAATAGATAGTCGAGTAATACTAATACACTTTATAGAAAAAACACACAAATGCACTGATGTGCCTTTGCAAATAGAAACGCAGTACACGTCGCTTCGGCCAGGCGATGGGTGTGCATTATCACCATGGAGCACTCAGGGTCTGAAAGACTAGGTCTGGATCCCCCACAATCCCACCTCAGGCACAGTGTTTAGTCTCTTGCCTTCAATTCTGACCTCCTATCAAATGGGGCCGGTAGTACCTGCCTGGTCAGTGAAATGGGTAAGCTCTAATTCTGAGTGAAAATGGAATTTACTGAGCATATGCTTTGTGCCAGGCACCTTGCCTCACCACCAACAGCTCTCTGATGGATATCATCCCCATTTCACAGCAGTGCAGACTGGGGCTGAGGGGTGTGAAGCAGTTTGCCCCAAACCATCCGTTCCCAGAGCGAGCTTTGGGGGAGACCAAGGTGAAAAAGAGGACTCCTGCCTCCAAAGTGTTTCCAGCCTCCTCGGTCACAAGGGTACAACCGGACAGAACCGCACGTTGTCTGAGCCCCAGCCCTGCTCCTCACTTGCTACAACACTCCACATGGACCCAGAACCCACCAGTGTGCCCCCTGCCCCTGGGCGTCCTGGGAGAACCAGCTCACAGTCTGGCCTGAGAGGATGACGTTTCATGTCCTGGCTGGGTGGGACCAGTTCGCTGCCAACCGCTTTGGGGAACGCAACCAGATGAGAAAGCCTTTGTGTGCCCTGCTCTGCCAGGCCAGGGCTGTCCCACCCAGGTGTGGCCGGCGCAGGGAGCCCACGACCTTTGCCCCTTCGGCGGAGCCTGTCTTTCGGCATCCCGCACTATTTTAAGGCCTTCTGAGGTCCAAACAGGATCCAGGGCTCACCAGGGACAGTCTGTAAAAGTTTTCCACTGGAACAAATATCCCAGCGCCGTAACTCAAAGCGGGACTTTACAATGGGATCTGATTATCAAGAGTTCCAGAATATCCTCTTTTGAGACGCACTGCTCCTTTCTCTTTCCTGTCATTTAGGGCTGGCAGGCCCATGGCACGTAGACCGGGCGCAGGCCTCCTCCAGAGAGGGCTGGGGGAGAAGGGCCTTTTCCTCTCCTGGGGTTGGCTTTGGGGTCTCAGCACGAATCTTAAGGGGACTCTGAACACGCCCACTGTACAGAAAGCTGTTATCCTGACGGGAGCGTCTTTGTTTAAAGCCATCTTCCCCAACCCTCCCCCTAGCTTCCCGCTTCCTTCCCCATGAAGCCCGAAGGCCACATGGGGTGTGGACCCTTCGCCCCTCAGGCCTCGCCACCTGCCCCCGCCTCACCTTTCACCCCCGTCCTGCCACGTGAACCTCCTCACTCTCGGGGCTCTTCTCCTGGTACCCCCCTCCCACCAACTCCAGTCCCAGCTCTGCCCCTCCCCACCCCACTCTGCACCCGGCTTAGACACCCAGGGGCTCCATCAGTGGCCCCTGATGCACTGGCTGTCCGCTGAGCTCAGCCTAGGGGAGGCGCCGGCAGCAGGTCAGAGTGCAAAGGGAGGAAGAGGTCAGGGTGAGAATTGTGGGACTCTCTCCAGGCAGCAGGGGCTGGGTCCCTCCACACCACAGCCCCGCCAAGTAGCCCTTTCTCTGCACCCCACCCCCCAGGGCCCCAAGGTTGGACTTGCATGGTGCCCCATGTTGGTTCCTTCACCCTCCCACACCTCTGTCCACGGCCCCTTCATTATACCCTCCTCAGCGGAGCCACTGGGACCCTGACACATCCAAGCCCTTCGTGACTGGCCTGGGTATCTCCTGCCCTCTGCCCTCCCAGCCACACTGCCTGGCTCCTTCCTCAACTTCACCCACATCTCCAAGCCCCTGCCCCCAGCAAGACCGCTCTCTGTCTCATTTTTCTTCCCAATACCAACTACCCCCTCACATACTCTAACTCCCTCCCCCTCCAGACTGAAGCTCCATCAAAGCACAAATGTTGTTTTGCTTGCTGTTACGTTCCCAGAGCCTAGGGCAAGGCCACATGAGTGCTCTGCATAAACTTGTTGCATAAACTTGTTAACAGACGTTTAGAAGATAGAGCTCAACAGCTATGGCCATCACAGGACCAGCGAGCACTCACTGAGTGCCCACCGCAAGCCAGGTTCTCTTCTAGATGCTGGGAATGTGCAGTGGCCAGCACAACAACACACCAGCCCCCTGCAAAAGAGCATCTTCCAGTTCGGGCCTGCCCAGACCCACCCTGCCTCGGAGGGTCCGTGTCCTACCTGGAGCCTAAATGTTGCCGTAGGTGAGCTAGCTGAGTGCAAACACTCACCCCGCCTGACTGTAAGAGCCTTCCTGGCGTCTGCACGTACAATCCTACTCTCTCAGGCCACCTGCACCTCCAGGAGCCAGCTGACATCAGATGTTTGCAAATAAACATGGGTGGTCATGTGACTGCGAGTGGGACCTTTGGAAACTCTGTCCCCTGTGCTGGCTTGAAATGATGACCGGGAGGCAACGTGACCGTCTGGGGTCACACCCCTGCTTAGCTACTCACCAGCTGCGTGACCTTGGGCTTAGTACTGGATATCTCTGAGGCTTCAGTTTCCTTATCTGTAAAGCGGAAAGAATCATCCTTAGTTTTTCCAGGGCCACCATGAAGACTCAATAGTCTGCATGTAAAAAAGCCAGGCACAAAGCAAAAATGCACGAAGGGAAAAAAGGGAAGCTATCATTATGTCTCTGAAGAGCAAATGCTGGGGTGAGTTTACGATGCATCATTTTTAATAGCACATGTATGTTGTTAGGGCATTTGGTCATCCCTCAGAACCTGTTTCTGTATCCTTTTGGGTGTATAGTTCATGACTTTGAGAAACTTGCTTTTTAAAGAAAAAGATAACTTGTCTCTCCTGGGAGGTGTCGCCCATCTGTGTACACAGGAGACGTTGCGATTGAAAGCACGTTGGTATTAGATGAAGGTGACAGCGTTGTATACCTGTGTGGTGTTAAATAAATGCCAGAATTTCAGGAACTTAACGTTTGGCCCCATTACAGTCCCACTATAAAACCATTTGTGGAGCACATTGCTCCAGGTTTAATTCTCACTTGCGCTACATGTCCATCCATGGAGGGTGCCCTGGGGGTTCTGCTCAGCCCCATCCTCCGCATCCTCAAGGAGCAGCTGCCACCTGGACCCCCCGCGACCTGCTGTGCAGCTGCGGGGAAACCATGCTGTGCTGAGCTTAAAGCTCCCACCAGAAAGAGACACGCCTCTGCGCACAATTCACTGGCCAGGGCACATCCCATGGCCTGGCCTCGTTTTAACAGAAAAGACCATGTCCCCTCCCACAGGAAGGGGAGCAGCCTGTTATAGGAGTCCCTTCGTATTTCTCTTTTAACCCCCTCACCCAGCACAGTGTCTGACAAACCGTTAAGACGCTCAGGAATATTCCTTGAACAAATGACCGAACCTATCTTTGCACTTAACCTTCAGAGCCTGTTCATGACACCTGTAAGAAAAGCAGCCAATCCTTGGCATAGTAACCAAGCATTTAAGCTCCCAGCCTAGGTAGCCTCAGTCCCTGGGTTCAAATCCCAGCTCTGCCTTTTATTTATTATCTGGGTGATCTTGGTCAGAGTTAGTCAGCTGCTCTGTGCCTCGGCCTCTTCATCTGTAACACAGGGATGGTAGTAAAAGTACTCAGAACGTAGGGCTATTATGGGGATGAAGTGAGTCAACTGATGGAAAGCACTTAGAACAGTGTGTGGCAGTTAGTAAATCTCAATAAACACAAGCTATTACTATGACTATTACACAAGTCAGATCTTTCCCGACCCCACTTTTTCTAAATTATATGTATCGGGGTGATATAATAGTTAACAAGATTATATAAGTTGCAGTGGTACAGTTCTATACTACATCACCTGCATATTGCACTGTGTGTTCACCACCCAAAGTTGAGTCTCCTTCTGTCACCATATTTGAACCCCTTTAACCTCCTCAACCTCCCCTTGACCCCGTACGGCTGGAGCCGAGTCACGTGCTTCCGCTCTCCCACAGTCCTCCAGACGACAAACCTGCAAGCGACACGTTCTCAACACGTTCAGAATGTGGGTCACGTTACCGGCATCTGCCTACAGCCTCCCAGGACAAAAGCTTCGGAAAGAACTACCCTCCAGCAAATTGAGATGCCGGATGGAATTAAATTTATAGTGCATGTACATACATATTTTTTAAATTCATAAACAGCCACACCCCTTTCAAAACACATCAACTAGCCACAAAATATCCAAAACAAACTAAGTCAAGGAAGCAATAAACGGACCCACCCTATCTGGCCACCAAGGTGGTAAGTGCTGGGGCAGGGTTTGAATTTGGGCCGGATCAAGTCCCCGCCCTGAGCCCCCCTCTTCTGTGAAGCCGGAGGCTGTACTCCCCCTCCCCAGCGGATCGCTCTATCAGAAGAGGAAGGAACAACCATTTCTGGCTCACACACCAAGGGGCTCAGTCAATACTACTGCTCTTTTCCTTTAATAAAACAAACTCTTTGACATGGATAACCCAGGAAATTATTCAGGAATAATACATGCTAAACATACCCACTGCCTCCTAAAACCAATAAATCAAGGGAATTGGTAAAAAAAAAAAGTCCAAATTCCAAGAGCAATGGCTCCTAAAGCCAGTATGAAGTTTCTAAACTCCCTAATTTCCGGTGTTCGAAAAACAATACTTCAATGGTAAAATGTCCGTCGCAGTCACTCAAAAATGTGCACTATGTGGTTCAGCCTTGACCCAACCCTCTGTAGTCTGTATTTGAGCATCCACTTATTTTTCACTCCCTCAAGAATACTTATTAACCCCCCACTAAGTGTCAGACAACACAAAGAGCAGGAATAACAAAGTCACAACTTTTATCCTCTAGGGGAAGAGCCGTACCAAAAACAAGAAGCGAAATACACAATAATATTTTTACAGACCATGATCAGTGCCTCATTGGGAATCAACAGTGGCCAGTGATTCCAAGTCCTGGAGGTCGGGGAAGGGGCCTATCAGATGGGGTTGTCCGAGGAGGTGATGGAAGTTGGGATGAGGAGGAACCATAGTGCTGGGGCAACAGTGTTCTGGGGGCAGGGCAGCAAGTGCAAAGGCCCTGTGGCATGTAGAGTAGGGCATCCGGGAACTAACCAAAGACCAGGGGCCTGGGTGGGAGGGCGACTTGATGAGGCTGGGAGACAGGCAGGGGCCAGGCTGCTCAGGGTTTCCTAAGAGTGGGGAGCGGCCCACCCTTGGGAAGGGTGGAAGCAGGCGATGTTCTAGGACCCTGCCAGTTAACGTCTGTAGGTAGAGTGGGTCGTGCGGGGGCTGCAGCTCAGGCAGAGGGACAGTTAGGCAGATGCTGCGTATGGGCAGTGGAGAACAATGGTGGCCTACACTGGGGTGGTGGCATGGGAGGCAGAGAGGAGGGAACTCTGGATGGGGAGTGGATCAGACTATGGAACTCAAAATGAGACATGGGCTCTTACCTTTGGTGTCCCCTGTGACCTTGCTAGAGACACATTTCTCATGCCGCACCCTGGAGCTCTGGGTGTGGGGCCGGACACCTGGGTTCTAACAAGGCTTCCGCTGACAGGCACTAAAGTAGGAGAGGCAATAGACTAGATAACTGATAATATTAACTGACACAAAAATGTGTCCTCTGGAAACTGCCTCCAGATCCCTCTGGGGACCAGGAGGTCCAAACCACTGCTACCAAGATACTGAGATCTACCAGGTATAGTTTCTAGAAAAGAACTGCCAGTGGGGTTAATGCCCACTCACCGTGGGTGCGGCCAACCTGCCAGCCTCTGGGGGGCCAGAGGGGAGGTCAGGGGGGAGGAGGGGCTCCCAAACCCATTCAGAAGACCGTAGGCCATCCTGCTGAGTCCTGGGGCAGGACTGGCCTGAGGCAGAAAGGATTACGGAATGCCTGCTATTGACCAACACCGGCCTGAGGAGCCTGACGCATCCTTCAACAATCCCTGTGGCCCTAGCCCATCTGTCCCCTGTGGGGCCCAGGGAACTGCATGTAACTAGCAAACAGCAGAGCCAGGACTTGTGTGTGGGCAGCACAAAGAACAATGCGTTTCACAGGTACTGGGGTCAGCCTTATCTCACAAACTCTGGGGCATTCCATTTTCTCCTTATTCCCCTCCACCTAAGCGACCCTCATCATCCAAGGTGACACAGCAGAGCAGAGACGTGGGTCCAAAGTGGCCGGGAGGACAAACGAGGAATCACAGAACCTACAACGCACCTTCTCTCCGCTTGCTTGGCCACCACCCCAACCTGGGCACTGTTGCTCGCACTTGTAATAAAGCACTATGGTCTCCCCACAGCCACCCCTCTCCACAGCCAGCTGCTCCGTCCCATGCTGCCTGCTCTCCAACCCCCAACCCAAACCCCACCCCCACCCCACTCACCCTCTGCCTTCTGGCCCTCCTTCTGTTCCTCAAACAGCCAGTCTCGTTCCCATCGTATCTGAGACATGTCTCTCCATACCTCCGATACATGACAATCATAAAAACACTAAATGCTGCCATCGGCTGGGACATTACCTATAATAATATACTACATATTAGTAGCATCCGTACTAGGGTGAATAATGTCCCCCCCCCAAAATCTATGCGTCCCCAGAGTCCCAGAATGTGACCCATTTTGGAAATAGGGTCTTTGCAGACCTATTTGTTAGGACGAGGTCACACTGGAGTAGGGCAGGTCCGAAATCCAGGGACTGGTGTCCTTCTCGGAGATGACACAGGGAGAAGACCCCGTGACGAGAGAGGCAGAAACCAGAATGATGCAACTCCAAGCCAAGGAATGCCAAGAACACCCAGCAACCACCAGGAGCTGGAAGAGAGAAGGAACAAGTCTTCCCTAGAGCCCTTGGAGAGGGCGTGGCCTGCCGACACCTTGATCCCCAACGCCTAGCCTCTGGAACTGGACAGAATAAATATCAGTGGCTGTAAGCCACCGGGTTCACGCCAATTGGGTAGGGCAGCCCTGGGAAAACGAATACAGCATCTTATAAATATGCTCCCCAGGCCGTGCCCCAACCCTACAAACGGTGAGTTCTTGCTCTCGCCCTACAGATGGGTAACAGATGACCTTGGCTCAAGTTCACACAGCTCGTGAGCGGCAAAGCTGAGATCCAAACCTAGTCGGACTCCAGAAGGAGAGCTCTTTACGTCGGGCTGAGCGGTCACCCTCTTTTTATAGAATGAATGCAAAACTTTTTTTAAAAGAAAAAAAAAAAAAGGAGGCCTGAGAAACAACACCTGAAAGCCTTGCTAGCTTAAAAGGCCTCTGGCAGCTCTTCTCCTCAAAGGGGTGGGTTCTGGGAGGCCCTGGTTACCAGGGGGAGAGCAATTGGCTACCAACCACTTCTGAGAACAAACTTAAATGCAGGAGGAGGCTTAATTCCGCGGCTGCAACACAATTTTATTTTTCTGCGGGGACCACCCCCTCCGTCTCCTATATATGTATATTTAAAAGGTTTCATTATATGCAATAATTATTTTTTACTCATCACAGAGCCCTTTGTAGTCCCTGACCTGAATCATCGTTATTATACTTG